CACACACACACACACACACACACACACACACACACACACACACACACACACACACAGATACACACTGATGGGGGAGGGGGAGAATGTACAGTCAGTACAGGGAAACATCATTACAGCTGTGAGGAGACCCAATCTCTGTGTGTGTGTGTGTGTGTGTGTGTGTGTGTGTGTGTGTGTGTGTGTGTGTGTGTGTGTGTGTGTTCATCAGGCGGTGCTGGCTCTGGCGGCCTCATGGACGTCTCGTCAGGTGGGTGAGCGAACACTGACCGGAACCGTCATCGACAGCGGAGACGGAGTTACTCACGTCATTCCAGTGGTACGTTTCTTACACACACACACACACACACTCACTCTTACTCACTCACACACATACTCGCACACAAACCCACTTACACTCTCACACACACTCACTCATGCACAAAACACATTCATTCATTCCTTCCTCTTCAGATTAGTCCCTGATTCATCAGGGGTCACCACAGTAGAATGAACCGCCAACTATTCAAGCTTATGTTTTATACAGCGGATGTCCTTCCAGCTGCAACCCAGTACTGGGAAACACCCATACACACTCATTCACACACTCATACACTACGGCCAGTTTAGTGTGCAGCCGCAGGTCCGTCCTGAGCCATGACTGTCCACAAACCAACAGCAGAGTTCAGTTCCTGCCCTGTTGGGTTGATCACAGCAGCGGTGGATCAGGGTCAGGTCAGGATGCTCTCGGGCAGCACTGACTCTGTTGGATGATGTGGACTCTGGATTCCCCCATAGACTGCCACAGATCCTGAAGAGTGTGAATAATACTGAACACACACACCTTCTGTTCTAATGTGAGGAACAGCGGAGGATATTCACCACAGTGAGGCCTCCTGGAAATCATCTTATTATCTGATGGCAGATCCCGGGTCAGTACGGGTCACACTGGCGGGCTGAGTAAAAGTAACTTTGCCAAGGCTGTGAATAATTTTGTGCTTGGACACACACACACACACACACACACACACATACACACACACACACACACACACACACACACACACACAGCTCCTCCTCCTCAGTGCTGTAGCTCCTCCTCCTCAGTGTAGTGATTGACAGACAGGAGTCCTGCACAGTGGTCAGAGGGGTTGTGAGCGGTTCTTCTTCAGAATAGTGTTCAGATCACTGCTGATGCTGCTGGAGGAAAACCTCTCCTGACCCACTCCCCCAAAACAGCCCAAACTGCTCAATAATGTTTAGCTCTGGGTACTGTGCAGGCCATGGGAGATGTTCAGCTTCACTGTCATGTTCATCAGACCGCTCTGTCTCCAGTCCTGCTGTGTGTGTCGCTGCATCATCATCCTGACACACACCACCTTCAGGATACAGTGTTTGACCCATTGGGTCACATGCTCCTCCAGAATAGTTGGGTAGTCCTCGGCAGCGATCCAGCACCTGTCTAGGGAACACCATGATATTGAGCCCAGACCATCAGTGACCCTGCATGCTTGACTCTGGGCATCAGCGGTCTGGGTGGGCCGCTCCTGTGGGGCTTCTCCACACCGTAACTCTCCCGCATGTGGGAAACACAGTGAAGCTGGATCATCAGAGATCAGCACACGCTCCACACCGTCCACAGCTCCAGATCTCCACCGCTCCTCCACTGAAGCCGGCGTTCGGCATGGGCAGGAGTGGGCGGAGGTTTGGGTCATGTATATTGACCCGGTGGAGCTCCAGAGCAGCAGTTCTGCTGGACACAGGAGAGTGGAGCTGCACATGTCATTCTGCAGTGAGTCGGGCCGCTGTGCTCTCATGTGTTCTGGGTAAATCAGGGTTAGCAGCTTCCTCCGGCCTCCACAGCTCCTCCTGCTGCATGTGCTTCCTCCTCTTGGTGGTCTGCTGACATGACTCTGGACACCGCAGCTCTCGATCATCACACACACCTGCTGTCTCGCTCACAGATCAGTGAAGAGTGAACAACAGGAGGAGACACGGCCATCACACCTACAACACCACACTGACCAGAGCTGCAGTATGACATGTGTCCAGCGCCAGAGAGCTCAGTGTGTGTGTGTGTGTGTGTGTGTGTGTGTGTGTGTGTGTGTGTGTGTGTGATTGACAGGCGGAGGGCTATGTGATCGGCAGCTGCATTAAACACATCCCCATAGCCGGGCGAGACATCACGTACTTCACCCAGCAGCTGCTGCGCGAGCGAGAGGTGGGCATCCCTCCAGAGCAGTCGCTGGAGACCGCCAAAGCTGTGAAGGTGAGTGTGTGTGTTGTACTGCAGAGTGTGTGTGTGTGTGCGCGCGTATGTGTGTAGTACTGCAGAGTGTGTGTGTAATGTGTTGTTCTGTGGTGTGTGTGCGTTCTGTTTTACTGAGGTGTGTGTATGTGTGTATGTTTGTGTGTTTGTGTGCATCTATGAGTAAGTGTGTATGTGTGTGTGTTTGTGTGTGTGTGTGTGTGAGAGAGAGTGTGTGTGTCAGTGTGTGAGTGTGTGTGTGTGTGTGTGTGTGTGCGTATGTGTGTGTGTGTGTGTGCGCGTGTGTGTGTGTGCGCGTGTGTGCGTGTGCGTGCGAGTAAGTATATCTGTCTCCTCACAGCAAGAAGCTCGCTGTTTCGAGTCCCGGCTGGGTCAGTTAGCATTTTTGTTTGGGGTTTGAATGTTTTCTCTGTGTTGTCATAGGTTTCTTTCCGGTTGCTCTGCATGGTGTCCTCCACAGTCCAAAGACATGCGCTATAGGGGAATTGAATGAGTGTGCATGGATATTTCCCAGTACTGGAAAGGCATCCACTGTGTAAAACACATGCTGGATAGGTTGGGGGTTCATTCCGCTGTGGTGACCTCTGATGAATAAAGGGACTAAGCAGACAGAAAAGTAGTTTTCAGTAGAGAAGTAATTTAATTACAGTAACTAGTTATTTTGTAAGTAATTACACAACACTGGATACTTATTAATTGGATAATAGTACTGATCATTTGATTTTAGTACTTATATAATCCTACATTTTAAAGGGCTCCTATTTTGCC